GAGGCTGAGAGGAGGGACGGTGAAGGCAGGGACCGAGGCATGAGAGGAGGGACGGTGAAGGCAGGGACCGAGGCGTGAGAGGAGGGACGGTTAAGGCAGGGACCGAGGCGTGAGAGGAGGGACGGTGAGGCAGGGACGAGGCGTGAGAGTGAGGGACGGTGATAGGCAGGGATCGAGGCGTGAGAGTAGGGACGGTGAAGGCAGGGACCGAGGCGTGAGAGGAGGGACGGTGAAGGCAGGGACCGAGGCGTGAGAGGAGGGACGGTGAAGGCAGGGGACCGAGGCGTGAGAGGAGGGACGGTGAAGGCAGGGACCGAGGCGTGAGAGGAGGGACGGTGAAGGCAGGGACCAAGGCGTGAGAGGAGGGACGGTGAAGGCAGGGACCGAGGCGTGAGAGGAGGGACGGTGAAGGCAGGGACCGAGGCGTGAGAGGAGGGACGGTGAAGGCAGGGACCGAGGCGTGAGAGGAGGGACGGTGAAGGCAGGGACCGAGGCGTGAGAGGAGGGACGGTGAAGGCAGGGACCGAGGGTGAGAGGAGGGACGGTGAAGGCAGGGACCGAGGGTGAGAGGAGGGACGGTGAAGGCAGGGACCGAGGCGTGAGAGGAGGGACGGTGAAGGCAGGGACCGAGGCGTGAGAGGAGGGACGGTGAAGGCAGGGACCGAGGCGTGAGAGGAGGGACGGTGAAGGCAGGGACCGAGGCGTGAGAGGAGGGACGGTGAAGGCAGGGACCGAGGCGTGAGAGGAGGGACGGTGAAGGCAGGGACCGAGGCGTGAGAGGAGGAGGTGAAGGCAGGGCAGGGTGAGAGGAGGGCAGTGAAGGCAGGGACCGAGGCGTGAGAGGAGGGACAGTGAAGGCAGGGACCGAGGCGTGAGAGGAGGGACGGTGAAGGCAGGGACCGAGGCGTGAGAGGAGGGACGGTGAAGGCAGGGACCGAGGCGTGAGAGGAGGGACGGTGAAGGCAGGGACCGAGGCGTGAGAGAAGGGACGGTGAAGGCAGGGACCGAGGCGTGAGAGGAGGGACGGTGAAGGCAGGGAAGAACAAAAAGATACAGTAACATGACTGGAACAATACATAAATAACCAGCCTCGCGATGCTCCAGTCTTTTCCCCCGAAGTTGCATCTTCACAGACGAAATTTCAGTGATGATAAAAAATGTGCTGCAATTTTTTCAGTATTCTAATATCGAAAACGTCGTAGAAGATCCGTCTTAATCGAAAGTCTACTGTATTTCTTGAGCAAATTTTTATTTTGGGAGATATTAACGAAAAATCTGTTAGGTTATATTAGGTTAGGTATCATTTAGTTAAGGGAAGGTTAGGTTAAGTAACGTTAATTAGGTTAATTAAGCTCACCTGAAAACGCCACCTGTGTTTACACTGGACCACCTGTAAGACTCGCCACCTGCAAAAAATTTGTATTAATTTTTCTTATAACTCCGAAAATAACGATTTGTACAAGAAATTATTATGTATTCCGTGACGCACATAGACTGTATGTATTGAAAAGTGTAAGAAAACAAGAGGACCGAATTTCAATCAGTATTTGTTGGTAACTATTACCAATAATAACAGTTGTTTATTATTATTATTATTATTATTATTATTATTATTATTATATTATATTATATTTTATTATCATTAACTTTACATTATATTACTATTATCATTATTATTATTCTTGAGGAGTCATACAAAGGCTTGTGAAAGGGAGGCAGTTTGGTTTGATCCAAGGTAAGGGAGGACAAATCCAATTCCTTGGATCAAGATCCTTGACCAGTATCAAGGAACTCTTCTTGAAGGAAATATAATAACAGATAAAGGTTATTCCTGACTACTAAAGTCTTCAGGTTGACTCACAAGATCTTGGGTCAGGAGTTTTACGACTCTACCGCGAGTTCGAGCCCCGCCCGTGGTAGTCTTCATGTTGGTTGGTTAATGGGGTTTCAAGCCTATCCACTATACGAGGGTCATTAAGAATTCAACGTAATCTTTCCATCTCCGACAAAAATAATTTAAATCCCTAAAAATGGGATTAAAATCAATCACATAATAACGAAGCGCTAAACCCTTAAGTGTCATACAGCGCTGCAAATAAACCCACAGTATATATATATGATGAGAGAAATACACATCTCGGTGTATATATCTTGAAGTGTTGAGGGAAGAGAAAGAAACTTAAATAAAATAAACTTACGTCAAACTTAATTATGATGTTGGTGAAGCAAGTTGTCAGACTTTAAGAAAGTTTCCAGTTGGTAGATCACTCTGCGTTAACATACATACACTCACACAACACAAATAAAAACTAGGATATTTGTTCAAGCACAAAAAAATGTTCAACTGAGATGAAGTTTGTGTTAGCAACACCACCTCGTCGTGTCTGACAGAGAACTGTCTTCTTCTCCGCCGCCTCCACTACCGCCATCTTTCAAAGACGCATTTGATACTTATTGACATTCTTCTTTAATTACCTCTTAATGTGACTATAAATTTGTGCTGTGTTAAAATATTAAGACAATACATTACGTGTATGATACATTACGTATCATATACACTGTACTGCTACTGTTGAAGTGAATAAAAATTAATGCTTTGTTTATGAACCTTGCTTGATAATTAGCTTTTTATTACCGTGGATGTTAATACGATGCTTAAATAATTTTAAAGACAAAAATAAAAAATATATTCATTATAGTAAAGTCTATTATGATTAAAATGTTGATCACCTTAAAAAATCTTTCTGTTTAAAATCAAATAAAAAATTTTCCTTCGTTAGTTTCTCTTATTTTTTTTTAATATTTATTGTAGTTGATATAAACAAGTGACTTAAGATATATTTTAGAAAGTTCTTGTTTATTTATTAAGTGTAAAATATATAGCAGATGCTGCGTTGCGAGTCAGAAAGCTTGTTTACTAAAATTTTAAGACATTGAGTCAACCCCGAAATTTTCACAAAAATGTGAAATATACATTTTTCTCACTTCACAATAACAAAAGTCTATGTACGGAGTAAAACACTGAATCTTCAGAGTTTCAAAAGTGTTTACGTTGTCTCGTTGGTGTTATTTTTGTCTGTTACTTGGTTAATTATACGAGTCTGTCATAACCTCTAGTACACTTCCTTATTTCTTCTTCCTCCAACGTTTTCGTTTATAATTTTTAAACTCCTAGACTGATCAGCTTCATGTTGTCAACACTGGTGAACTATAACTAGGGAAATGTTCAGCAAATATTGGGAAGGACAGGTACCTTCTAGTAAGTTTTATAAAGCCATTCCTGATTATGATTTCTGTCCAATAAGAAAAACTTGACTTATCTGTTTCAAGTTTTAATCTTATACTCATTTAGCATCTATGTATTCCACTTACAAGGTTCTGATTCTTACTTAAGTCTGCAGTGTTAATATGTCCATTTATCTTTCAAGATGGCGTATTTTTTCTCGATATAACTTGATTATTCTTCATTTGAACGTCTTAATTCTTTAATGACTGAACTAATTATAATTAACTAACATAGTTTATAAACTTGGAATTAATGGACTCCGTGTGATGATTGACTTAAAACTTACAGTGATGATGATGATGGGTTTTCCATGAAAGACGGTTCATGTTACTGGGATTTCCAGGCTTTAATTTGCTAATTTTATTAAATAAATTGTTTTTTTTTCAACTTCAGAAGGCCTCTTCCAGTAGACATCAAACCCTGGTTTACCTCAGATTAATTTTTGGATCGCTGTTGGGGTGTGTAGGAGCCAATTTACCAATTTTATTACCGGATTTAAATTAGATAAATTTACATTTAGAAAGAAAGTATGTAAATAATGGTTTACCAGCAGAGTTGTTGATGTGTGGAACAATCTTCCGAGTAGGATATTGAGGTATGACCTTGTGTAGCTTTAAGAAGATACCTTCATACTACAACTTTTGAGCAACTTTAGGTTGAAAATAGTGGTATATTTTGTTCAGAGAATAGTTTATTGTTACTCACTAAATCTTAATAACACGATTGATTTTTACGACGCACTTGACATGGGCTCAAGTCCCACTCGTCCTATGCATAATATTATTGGTAGGTAAGACACATAGGCAACAGTTAGGCTACTGTGTAGGCGAAACGTTTCGGAATAAAGTTGCCTAACTGTTGCCTGTGTCTTACCTACCAACCTGTCGGTATTGTATACCATTTTGATGTTCATAATATTATTCATATTGATATTGGGCTCTATACATCATAATGTGTCAATATTATTAAATATGGACATGGTGGTAGGCTGCTTATATAAGATGTAATGGTGTATTGTCTTCCCTGTAAGATGTGATGGTAGGCTTTCTACCCCTTATTAGATGTGATGGAATATTATCTACCTTATTTAAGATATGATAGCAGGTTATCTATCTCATATGAGATGTGATGGTATATTATCTACCTCATATAAAATGTGATGGTATGTTATCTACCTCATACAATGGGATGGTATGTTGTCTACCTCATGTACAGTGTGATGGTATGTTATCTACCTCATATACAACGTGATGGTATGTTATCTACCTCATATACAGTGTGATGGTATGTTATCTACCTCATATACAACGTGATGGTATGTTATCTGCCTCATATAAGATGTGATGGTATGTTATCTACCTCATATACAATGTGATGGTATGTTATCTACCTCATAGACAATGTGATGATATGTTATCTACCTCATAGACAATGTGATGGTATGTTATCTACCTCAAAATATGATGGCAGGTTATATATCCTTTCTATCATGTGATGGTAGATTATCTACCCCATTAAATTAATGGTTCACCACGAACAACAGTGTTAAGGTTCTTTCATCTTTGTTATTATTATTATTATTATTATTATTATTATTATTATTATTATTATTATTATTATTATTATTATTATTATTATTACCATAATTATTGTTATGTGCTTCGACGTGTATGTGTTTGTTTGCTCTTAATAAAGAGCGTTGTTATTGTTATAGGTGTTGGTTTGGGGAATCACGAGGCTTCTGTAAGCACGGGTCTAGAGATGACTGCTAATGAGCAAGCTCTGAGGAAGTCTTTACTGAAAAACTACGACAAACTCACCATACCTCCTGGCAACACTACCATCACTATCAGTAGCCTCACTATACGTACCATGGAGATGGTAAGTGCCACTGTATACTCACTGTCTACCTGGAGAGTGTTTCGAGAAAGGGTCATTACAGTGCTGTATGATCCTAGTGGGTTTAGCGCTTCTTTTTTATTATAATAATATGAGGGGATCAACGGTGTCGCTGTCTGGTCTCATACCAAACCTGTTCAGCCAGGCTGTTGGTGCAAAGTAAGCACTACAACCTGGTTGATCAGGAATTGACTTGAGGAACTTATCGAGTTATCACTTGAAGATAGACAGGAGTCTGTCTTCAAGCGATAACTTGATAAGTTGAAGGGAGGATGTTGAAAAGTCTTGGTTCTTTCACACTTCTTGAGTTTTTCCTTAGTGTATTCACTGCACTCCAACTTTTCACTGCGGGCATTTTACACCGTCTACCAAACCTCTTACATTCTTGGGGAATGATTTCTGTGCAGATTTGGAACCAATCCTAGAATTTTTCAGGTATAGATTAAAATATATCTTTCTCGCCTACGGTCTAAGGAGTACAGATCGAGGGACTTCGAACGTCCCCAATAATTTAGGTACTTTACTGAATCTTTGTAAGCAGTGAAGGCTCTCTGCACATTCTCCAGGTCTATAATTTGGGCTGCTGTAGACGAAACTGTTAGAGTACAGCAGTATTCCTGCCTAGAGAGAACGAGTGATATAAAGATTATCATCACTGGCTTAGTATCCCTTGTTTTCAAGGTTCTAGTTATCCAGCCTAGTATTTTTCTTGCGGTTATGATATTGACACTGTTGTGATCGTTGAAAGTCAAATCCTCTGACATTATCACTACTAAGTCCCTCACGTTAGTCTTATGCTCGTGGTTCAAGAGCTATAGGTTGTTCCAGTCAGTGTTAAGAGTGATAGTTGATTGCTGGTTGGTAGCAAGCGTAACTAGGTAAGTGTATGCGAACACACTGTAGCCAGGTACTAGAGAAGGCTGACGTGCTCTCATTCTGTTGTGTGTGCAGACAATTTGTTGCAATATATGCCTAAATAGAGAGAGAGGAGAGGTAGAGGGAGGTGTTAGTGGAGAGGGGTATCAGAAGATATCCAGAGGGCTGACTTTAAAATTGAAGTTGGATTCTTATTAGAGACGAATGGGGCCTTGCTTTGCTTAGTGATGTGGATGACCTTGCTTCATACAGTGATGAGAGTGGCTTTGCTTCGTTAGTGATGAGGATGGCTTTGCTTCGTTTAGTGATGATAATGGCTTTGTTTCGTATAGTGATGAAGGTGGCCTTGTTTCATAATGTGATTAGGGTGGCCTTATCTTCGTTTAGTAATGTTGGTGGCCCTGCTTCACTAAAGAGTGTCCTTACCTTCATCCACCGCTACGGGTGGCCCTACCTGGGGAAGAAGTGAGAGGGTAAGCAAGCTCAATGATGCAGACATAGGCTACAGAATACAGCATCTTCACACGCGTGGTTGTAGTGCTGACGTGATGTTGATGGTGTACCACACGAGTGTGGTAACAAGGTTGCATACTGATTACTGACGTCACCTAGCGCCCATCTTATTAATGAGACCTGTGCACCTGGCCAGCACATCTAGAAGTTATAACGACCAAATAAAACACCTGCTGAAGTACATAGTGTATAAAAATAACAGTATTCCTGTTACATTGTGTAAAACATAAATTATCATAATTTTAGATAAAACTTACTCTCCTACGTCCATTTAAGGGAAAAAGAGAGCAAAATGTTAATATTTTATATAAAATGAAAAACCTCTCGAACGCTCGACTAACATAAGAAATAAGGAACACTACAACAGGCTCACTGGCCCATGCTAGGCAAGTCTAAGTCACACCCGCTTAAGAAGGAATGAGAACTGTATACTTTCTAAATATTTTTTTTTCCAACTTGAACCCATTGCTGTGAGTCCTTTCTTGGTTGAATATTTTTAACACGTTATGTGCATCACTTTATTTATTCATGTTTTCCATTTATACACTTCAGTCATATTCCCCCCCCCCCTAATTATACGCCTTTCTAGAGAGTGCATACTTGGTGCCCTCAGTCTGTCCTCGTAGGAGAGATTTCTGATACATGGAGTCAACTGTATCAACCAGTGTATTTATGTCCGCTCTGTAATAATATGACCAGAACTTAGCGGCGTAATCTAAATGAGGCCTCGCCAATTGAGGTGAAGCCTCAGGTAATAACCTCGGGTTATTACCTGAGGCCTCCAGTTATTTATACTTTTTGATATGAAGCCAAGAATTCTATTCGCTTTATTGCGAACACTTATGTACTGCTGTCTTGGCTATAGATTAATGTTAACCAGAATTCTTAGATCTTTGTTCATTCAGAGTAATTAAGATACACAATATTTATTTTATAAGTGCCATGCTTATTTTCTTCTCCAAGGCTTAAAACTTCGCATTTGTGTATATTAATTAAACTACATCTTCCACTGAATCAGTCTATTAAGATCTTCCTGTAGCGCTCTAGTGTCCTCGTCAGAATTAGTTCGACATTCTATTTTGGTGTCATCAACAAACTTGCTTATGTCGCTATTTATTCCTTCATTTATGTGGCTTATATACTGCGTGAACAACAGAGGTTCCAGTATTGACCCTGAGGAACAACACTTTTGACGCGTCTTCTCAACCTGGATTTATCTTCAATTTTGCAAACTCTTTGTTGCCTATCTATCAGTCATGCATCTATCCAGGGAAAAAAATTGCTCTCCTCTATTTTCCTCTACAATCTCTGCCGATAATTTGAGAATGCAGGTTGGGAGCGCGGGCAGGTATACTGTGATAGGTATACCTGACATGACTCAAGTTCTCTACTTACTGATGCTGATGCTGCCACAACCACACTCCATCCTCTGCATAAAATTTAATGCAACGAATGTTAACAAAATAGCGTAGTGCCACCTTGACATTGAATTATTATTATTATTATTATTATTATTATTATTATTATTATTATTATTATTATTATTATTATTATTATTATTGTTGTTGTTGTTGTTGTTGTTATTATTATTATTCAAGATTAAGTGGCAAATCCATACAGCTCCTAGGACTGAGAGGAAATCGGGTTTGATCCGAGGAAGAGGATAGTAGATTGAATTCCTTGGAGACAGAACCTTTCAGTAGCATTATATATATATATATATATATATATATATATATATATATATATATATATATATATATATATATATATATATATATATATATATATATAATATATATATATATATATATATATATATATATGAAGAGTAGCAAACTGGGGCCAGGAGCTGTGTATTAACCCTCGTAAACACAACTAGGTGTGTTTCCCAGATAATCATAATGCAGCATTATTTTCAATTCTTAAAAAAAGTATAATTTTAATTCCTTTCTACAGCTTCATTAATCATCTGTTAATTACGTAATGGATTTATTTTTAATTAATTAGTGGTTTTCCAGCCTTCAGGTGATTAGGCAGCCCATTTCCATAATTATATAGGCTTCTTATTATTGTTATTATTATTAGTAGTAGTAGTAGTATCGTAGGAAGCGCGAAATTCATTGTGGTCCTACAGTGCCGGGGTACTAGTAATCGGTTTTGATCCAAGGAAGGGGAGAACAACTTCATTTGCTAGGATCAAGAACCCTTCACCTGCATGAAGGACAGTGTAGGTGTCGGTTGTGGGCCTACAAGCAAGACTCGGAAAAAATTTACGCACTCTCTTCACTACAATAATAATAATTTTGGTTCCACCAACCTGTGGCTTTATCAGTCCAATACTGAGAAAAACGATGGATGATATGAAGAGGGAGTTTGAGGTAATTAGTCCCTCAGTCTGGAGATGGTGTGTTCAGTCCATTAGTCTTGATAAAAGTACATTATATGCAAGGCTTGTATACTGGAAACAGGTGACGTGAAGCAGTTGGAGGTGGTTTCAAAGATGGGCAGGGTCTACCAGTGGGAGTAGGTCTTACTAGTATATTAGGCAGGCCAATTATCCATACATTTGTTATTATTTTATCAAGATTGATAGACTGGTTACCTCAAACTTACTCTTCACATCTTCTATCGAATTTCTCTTATTACACTGATAAAGCCACTGGTGAGCGAAACGTTTCCAGGATAAAGGTATCCAAGTGTTGCACATGTGTCTCGCTCCTCTACTTGTCGGTTTTCTAATTTATATAACAATTTCAAAGTCTTACATTATATTTACTTATCCTGGTATAATATTATTTTTACTTCTTAACTCCAGAATCTGAGTCAAACAAGTCTGGTGAATGATTGTTAAAAAATTATGACATTTATAATTTGACTAAATTCACTCCGCCACTTTAGCATTTTAAATATGTATATTTCTTTCTGGCCATCATGTTACACTACATGTGTGTTAAGGGTCACCCATTAGGTGAAACTTACAGCTGTATTAAGGGTGACCCTTACACATTCCCTCACCTTCTATGCCACACCTGGCCTCTGTGAGCTGGTCTGCGTCTTGACTCAGTTAAAACACTACTGAGCGTCGGATAACTCAGTTATACTCACTTGTAAAGAACGTTCATTATTACATTAAGCTTCTTCACACCCTATAAAAGGCACATTAACAGTGTGTTAAGAGGCAGTTAGAAGCAACAGTGAATTAAGCTAATAGATTGCCTTGGATGTTTGCCTGCCAGACAGGGCTTTGTGTCTCATAGTTGTCAGACGGAGGGTCGAGCCTCCACCACCCCATGCTCTGACCCATACGGGTTTACCGCTTCACATAAATATCTACATATTCACTAACAAGACTTTTTAAACACCCTAATAGGAGCTGAGTGTTTCTCTTACATATAAATGGCGTCTTGTATGTCTGTAGCATTAGTGAAAGATTCTCACTGAAGGTGTTGTGGCAGCCGTTAATATCCGTTACAACCGTTAATGCGTTAAAGAAAGGGAGTTTCGGAACATGTACTCTTCCTTGTACTCTCCCTCATACCCATCCCTTCACCCTTGCTCCCTCACTACTCCCTCACTGTGAGTGAGAAAGCTCCAGTGTGGCGTGAAATCTTCATTAGGTTTATTTTGTTTAAAGTGCGAGTGAGTCCCACTTGTCAGCTCTCGTTATTGTCTTGCTTCTGTCAGCCAGGATTATTATAATATTTACACTTATTTATAATCGGAATGTATATATATAACTTTTGCAGTGTATATGTTGTGTTTACAATTGATGGCGTTTGTTTGTGTTACAGCACGAGGAAACACAATCCATGGAGATACTTAGTTATTTGTCTCATGTAAGTACCGCTGTTGTACGTTACACCCACTGACACACACTAACACCCACTGACACACCCACTGACACACCCACTGACACACCCACTGACACACCCACTGACTCAAGCACTAAAACACTGGCTTCCTAACCTACACAATAATACATAAATATACTCATTATTATAACGGGTTCGTTTGGTAGTACGGTAGCGGGGAGTAAATGATACGTCTTCGGAGGCTTCTTAGTTTATTGAAAGTCGTTGTGGGTACACAGGCTTGCGTGTTTGAGCCCATGGCCCGGGAGGGCCATCCCACGAGAGAGAGCTTCTAGTAGGCTTTGTGTCTTGCTGCTAGGCCGCTGTGTGAGTGAGAGCGAGGCATGGGCAGACAGGCTGGCATGCCTACCGAGAGGCCTGGCTACAGAGGGCAACACTTGAGTGGCGCGAAATATGAACTAAGCTGGCAGACAGCATGGGCTGTCTGGGCTGTCTACATTATGAACTACGGTTTTGGAGACGAAGGTATCCAGAAGTGTTTTGCACAAGGTGTTAACATAGTCCCCATATTATAGCCATCCATAACCATCATTTAACTTAAAGTCATCACTGATCTATATAACCTTACCAAGCATCCATAGGACTATTGTGCATAAAGAGTGAGGGTTGTTGTTAAAATGAATTCTACAGACTAACAGCGTAAAATACACAGACTATTTGGAAATAGAAGATACTTATGAGCCAGTTTCCACAGCTACGTATATTTGTGCAACGAACATTACAGTTCCTGCGATACATGTTCAGTGCTGAAAAGAAGTGATCAAGAAAAACGTTTTTTGCATGTGATTCCATACATCCCTCTGTATAATGTGTAAACACACACCAGGGATACATATGAGACCTGTCCATCCAAGCATAGGTAATACCCCGTCATCAATTGGTTGGTTTACTGTCAAAACCTGGAATCATCAGCACGGCACACCGTATTAAAATACCATAACCCGTATATATTGTTATTATGATCGTAAGAGTGAAGATCACACAGCCCATCTCGCCGGATATAAGCATATATTAAATCATCTTAGCAGGGTAAATAAGTCGGTCAGATCCGAGAACTTCCTTTGAGGACCTAATAGTGAGTCATTCAAGACAATGCTCTTACATATCAAGTCAGTAAGAAAGAATGCAGAGCAACACAGGAACAGTACCTCAAGAAAACTGGTTTTCTTGGAACCAAATCAGTCCCTGAACCGAGGCGAATGAGCTATGATAAAAATGTGAAGGCATCTAACAGGCTGTTTCCATGACGTGTGTCTCTCAGCGTATATAAAATGAAAGTTTACTTTCATCCTTGAAATAGAGATTAAAGCATTTAGTCTAGTGATGAAAAAGTTGAGTGCAGCCTCTGCGACGCCGGTGTAGTAGGTGGCTCTGAACCTCATTAACCAACCAACTTCAAGGTACTGGAAGAATGAAGATTCAGAGGAGATATACTCATCACATAGAGGACATTTAGAGATACTGAGAGTGTGGATTAGAAAAATATGTTTAATACGAGAGGTAAAGGAACAAGAAAACGGAATGAAAAGGACACCTCAGATGTACCACAGAGGAGCTGGGAAATACTTCTTCTGTCTAATGGTAGTTCAAAATTAAACGAGCTGCATGGGAAAGTGTTGAAAGGAAACTCAATATTCAGCTCCATGAATAAATATAAGAGTATCCAAGTGACTATGAACAACATCAAGGTTCAGAAGAACCAGCAATGTAAGACCATGTGAAGGTTGAAAGGTGGGACTACGATCTGACACTGATCTTTCATAAACACTCACTGACACATACTGACAAACTGACCACTGACACTGACACAGTTACATACCGAGACACTGGCTCACACACTGACAGACTACACTCACCACTGACACAGTTACATACCGACACACTGGCTCACACACTGACAGACTACACTCACCACTAACACAGTTACATACCGACACACTGGCTCACACGCTGACAGACTACACTCACCACTGACACAGTTACATACTGACACACTGGCTCACACACTTACAGACTACACTCACCATTGACACAGTTACATACCGACACACTGGCTGACACACTGACAGACTACACTCACCACTGACACAGTTACATACCGACACACTGGCTCACACACTGACAGACTGCACTCACCACTGACACAGTTACATACCGACACACTGGCTCACAAACTGACAGACTACACTCACCACTGACACAGTTACATACCGACACACTGGCTCACACACTGACAGACTACACTCACCACTAACACAGTTACATACCGACACACTGGCTCACACACTGACACGCTTCTTTTTGATTATAATAATAATAATAATAATCACACACTGACAGACTACACTCACCACTGACACAGTTACATACTGACACACTGGCTCACACACTTACAGACTACACTCACCATTGACACAGTTACATACCGACACACTGGCTGACACACTGACAGACTACACTCACCAGTGACACAGTTACATACCGACACACTGGCTCACACACTGGCAGACTACACTCACCACTGACACAGTTACATACCGACACACTGGCGCACACACTGACAGACTACACTCACCACTGACACAGTTACATACCGACACACTGGCTCATACACTGACAGACTACACTCACCACTGACACAGTTACCAACCAGGCAGGACACCCCGGATATTTATAGTTAGGCCAATCATTATTTTATTTCTTTAACTCTCACTGTGTAATGCTTACCCACTGTGTTTCCAGCTGCCTGTGTATTGTATGTGTGGATGTGTCTGTGTGGGAGTGTTTGTGTGGGAGTGTTTGTGTGGGAGTGTTTGTGTGGGAGTGTTTTCCTGTGTCTGTGTGGGAGTGTTTTTCTGTGTCTGCATGTGTCTATCTGGGTTTGATTACATATTCGTGTTTACCTATGTGTACTTACAACAACAGTCATGCACGTGGTGTCCTGTCTTCAGTGTTTGTAGTTACAACAACAGTCATGCATGTGGTGTCCTGTCTTCAGTGTTTGTAGTTACAACAACAGTCATGCATGTGGTGTCCTGTCTTCAGTGTTTGTAGTTACAACAACAGTCATGCATGTGGTGTCCTGTCTTCAGTGTTTGTAGTTACAACAACAGTCATGCATGTGGTGTCTGTCTTAAGTGTTGTAGTTACAACAACAGTCATGCATGTGGTGTCCTGTCTTAAGTGTTTGTAGTTACAACAACAGTCATGCATGTGGTGTCCTGTCTTAAGTGTTTGTAGTTACAACAACAGTCATGCATGTGGTGTCCTGTCTTAAGTGTTTGTAGTTACAACAACAGTCATGCATGTGGTGTCCTGTCTTAAGTGTTTGTAGTTACAACAACAGTCATGCATGTGGTGTCCTGTCTTAAGTGTTTGTAGTTACAACAACAGTCATGCATGTGGTGTCCTGTCTTAAGTGTTTGTAGTTACAACAACAGTCATGCATGTGGTGTCCTGTCTTAAGTGTTTGTAGTTACAACAACAGTCATGCATGTGGTGTCCTGTCTTAAGTGTTTGTAGTTACAACAACAGTCATGCATGTGGTGTCTGTCTTAAGTGTTTGTAGTTACAACAACAGTCATGCATGTGGTGTCCTGTCTTAAGTGTTTGTAGTTACAACAACAGTCATGCATGTGGTGTCCTGTCTTAAGTGTTTGTAGTTACAACAACAGTCATGCATGTGGTGTCCTGTCTTAAGTGTTTGTAGTTACAACAACAGTCATGCATGTGGTGTCCTGTCTTAAGTGTTTGTAGTTACAACAACAGTCATGCATGTGGTGTCCTGTCTTAAGTGTTTGTAGTTACAACAACAGTCATGCATGTGGTGTCCTGTCTTAAGTGTTTGTAGTTACAACAACAGTCATGCATGTGGTGTCCTGTCTTAAGTGTTTGTAGTTACAACAACAGTCATGCATGTGGTGTCCTGTCTTAAGTGTTTGTAGTTACAACAACAGTCATGCACGTGGTGTCCTGTCTTAAGTGTTTGTAGTTACAACAACAGTCATGCATGTGGTGTCCTGTCTTAAGTGTTTGTAGTTACAACAACAATCATGCACGTGGTGTCCGGGGATCAACGCCCCCGGAGCGCCCTCCAGGTAGGTAGATAGGTTGAGAGGGTAGCTTTAGGCTACATTTCGGTCCATTCTAGACCATTACCAAGTTGTTTTTATCCTTGATTAATAATTAAGACACATGTACAACAGTTGGGTATCTTTATTGTTGAAACGTTTCACCTACACAGTAGTTTCTTCAGTCAAATACAGAGGTAGCAGTGTAGTGGTGAAATAAAGACGATGTAATCAATGCATCAATCTTGGAGAAATAGTATTTGAGGTGGTCCGGTGGTCAGCCTGGAGGAGAGTTCACCTCCATGGTCTGGAACGATAACATTCCAGACCATGAAGCTGAACTCTTCTCCAGGCTGAGGGACTAACCACCTCAAATACTATTTCTGCAAAGTTGATGGATTGATTACATCATCTTTATTTCACCACTACACTGCTGCCTCTGTATTTGACTGAAGAAACCTACTGTGTAGGTGAAACGTTTCAACAATAAAGATACCCAACTGTTGTACATGTGTCTTAGTTTCAACTTGTCAGTATTTTATACCATTTTCAATAAAATCTCCATGGGTATTATTATGACAAAAATAAAAAAAATAAGAGGCGGACCGGTAAGCCAGTGGAAGGCCTCGGTCAGATAACCATAAGTTCCAGTGGTGGGTCATCACATGACTAAGACCCGCGTCAAGAAACACTTGTTATGTTTCCTGACAAATCTTACTTAACCTCATCTCCGTGGATAATACATATTTTACAATGAAGTTAAATTCCTCTGACTTTAATATCCATTAGCTCAATTTAGGAATAATAATAAAAATTATACCTACATTCCCGTTTCTCATTCGTTGTACTAGATGGCGTTGTATTCCATCAGTGTAATTTTTCAGTTGAGGTTATCATGAGGTACGGTATCAAAAGCCTTTGTGAAATCTAACTATTTTTAATGCCCCATTGTGTCTCTTTCCTGATTGATTTGTGTGAGTTTATGAGTTAGCCCATAAACCTCCTATCGTATAGATATACCTCCTATCGTATAGATATACCTCCTATCGTATAGATATCCCATACCATTACCTGCTGTACCATAGTGTGGGTATCTACCCCCATTACCTACAATCGTGTGGGGAAGTACTGGCGTAGGCTTGTAGTTCTAGTGCAGGCTTTATGTAGCATAATGTTGGCGGGGTGAAAGTAGTATAGTAACGAACAATGTGTTATCCATCAGAGCTGGATGGATCTTCGTCTCAAGTGGAGCCTGGAGGATCACATGGATCTGGACCGTCTTGGTATGGATCCAGACGACATCTGGAAACCTGACCTCACTGTCTACAACTCGTAAGGGCTTCTCCTCTTTCTCTTTCTGACAAACATATATATATTAAAATATATATATATATATATATATATATATATATATATATATATATATATATATATATATATATATATATATATATATATATATATATATATACATATACATATATATATACTTGTCACTCTGTAACTTTCTATCTGTCTGCATCTCTCTGTATACCTATATAACTATCTATTATCTATTCCCAACATTCCTGTAATTACATCACACTTCTCATCCTGCAACATCCGCTGTAATATTCCCTATTCCCATAAAATGCTGACAGCTTTTCTTATAATGTATGTATGTATATATATATATATATATATATATATATATATATATATATATATATATATATATATATATATATATATATATATATATATATTCCTATTGTTGAGGGCACGAGAGGACTACCACCTGCACCAGTCACAGCTGCCCACCCTGGTGTACCCAGAGGGAAGGGTGTTGTTTGTACCGCCGGTACAGCTGCACTTCACTTGTGTGATGGATCTGACGTACTGGCCTCACGACAAACACACCTGCGTGGTCAAGATAGGATCCTGGGTCCACCATGGCTTTCTACTAGACCTTCAGGTCTCCTCAGATGCACTAGAGGTAAAAATCTCTGAAATAATTATTAAAAAAGCTACAAGGACTCCAAAAAATAATCTATATTAAACACATTGTCAAGATTTTTAATTTCTTATAAAATGTTAAGATTCTGCTCAGGCTTCCCCTTAAAATGCAATTTCCGGAGTATGCGCTAAACCCGTAGGGAGATAATAAAGTTTGAGTCTGGAATGGGAGCTATAGTTCTCTGGATCAAGAGCTTTTCAGCGTCACAGAGGCACTTCAAGAGTCATCTTGGCAAAGGTTGCCGCTGCCTCTGAATTATTCACTGTCTTTTCATTTTTTAGTTATTGGTTCATTGATGGTGGTCTCTTGATCCAGTACAGTGGAGCTGCTTTACCTTTGAATGTATCAAATCTGATTTTTCTCCCATTCTTCAAGCGGTGCATGAGCCTTCCGGGTTAAGCGCTCCGTCATGAATAAAATAATAATAATAATAATAATAATAATAATAATAATAATAATAATAATAATAATAATAATAATAAGAAGAAGAAGAAGAAGAAGAAGAAGAAGAAGAATGTCTGTTTTGCCTTCGCTAATTCATGGATTTGCTAGGGGCTCCACCCGTAACCCCCCGCCCCCCAATAGGTTAGAAATGTACTAGTGGCCATTTGGTTACGTGGATAAAAGTTTACAGTTAAGTGATGTTCATCCCAGCAGGGGTTGAGGAGTGTTTATATACACAATAGTCTTCTGATTTTCTGTCTTTAATTTATGTAAGAGGATAATGCACGCTAGTCCTTAATCTAGGCAAAAGAAGATAGATCTTCTCGGCAGACAGCTTCGGTGTGGATTTCAAAGCCCTTTGGTATCTGTCTTTCCCATGTATGCCAATGTACACTACATCAGACTACAGGAACTACGATGTTTCTCCCCGTGTCCTGCACACAGTTCGACCTGATGACACGTGCTGTGGAGGGAGGTGAGATATCAATATCTGAGTGGGAAGTGCTGCGATCCAATATAACCAGGGTGATCAAGTACTACCCTTGCTGCTCTGAACCTTACATCACAATCGACGTCTCCATTACTCTGCGACGCTCTGCCTCCGCCTACACATACACCGTAAAAATACCAGCTGTCTGTGAGTTACTACAAGAAGAATTATACACGTTTGGAACACCTGGGCAGCTTTATTGAAGATGTCCAGGTGTTACACATGGGTCTAATTCCTTATGTCAGTATTGCATATCATTATTGTAGTAAATTACTGCAGTCAATGTTCCCATCCTCACTGCCATTTGATGCATGTTCTGAAATACTCACATCACATCACATCAACTGTCACTACCTGATCTCATTCCTTGTTGCCGAGTTAATGTTCTCCTGACTCAGACGAGAGTACATCATTGTTTAACAAAGATCTACGCTATTACAAGAGCAGCTGTCTGTAAACTACTACTGTCTCTGTCTCCACCCTCGCTACTCTTCTCTTACACATTTCTTCAAAACAGTGTCTCGTCTCATCAGTGGCCGTTACTTGACTCCAAGCCTTTCTTGCTTCTCCATTCACAGTAACTTGACTCAAGCGATCTGAAACTCCTCAAGTTGCAATGATGCATAGTTTGTTCATGTTTTGCATGGATGATTGCCAGGGATCTTACACGTCTCTTGCATGAGATGTGCCTTCAGTACAGTACTAGAAGATACTTGTCAGTGGATTGTACCCACATCAAGAAGTATTAAGCCTGCATTTTCCACATCGGAATTTTAACGTTTTTTTTTCTGCAGTGTTCTGCAGGCCTGACAAATCTGACAATTTCATACAATCGTCCGAATACTCTTTTTGTGCTACAGGTCTGTCACTACTGACGCTGGTGGTGTTCCTGCTGCCACCTGGTGCTGGAGAGAAGCTCATCTTTGGGGGCTTCTGTCTACTGCTCAACCTTCTCTTCTTAACCTACACCACCCAGGTGGTCGTCCACGCTCCTACACACACTCCGCTCATCAGTAAGTTCACCTTCTACGTGTCTTAACTACGTCACTTTCCAGTTTGTTTTACTCTGCTACAACTCTGAAGCTGCACGAGTCTTTCCTGATATCTCTTAGACTCCTCCGGTAGTCAGTTTTAGTGTGTGTTCCCCTGTATTAGCTGTGCTAATGATACACAGCCTGTCTTTGTCTACCCTGGCTAATGATACACAGCCTGTCTTTGTCTACCCTGGCTAATGATACACAGCCTTTGTCTACCCTGGCTATTCACACCTTGTTTTGTATGTACAAGACTGTCTGTATTTACCAAATACGCCGGAACCGGCTAAGAAAAGCTTGTATGGAAGAAAACACATAGACTTTGCTACATGGCTAATCGTACACACCTTTGTCTATGCGCTATGTAACAGTTGTTATGTAAATAAGTAGCCTTTGCCACCGGAAAGCAAGTGTACTTGCTACCCAGCTATTTTACTGTGTTGTACAGAGATAAAATCAAAGGGCGTAAAATGTAAAATAAAAAGAAAGGATTAAGGGAATGGCAAAACCACAATTGTATGTTTTTATAATGTGAAAAAATGTGACTTAAGCCACCAGACGAAAGGAAAGGTACAAACACACCAAGGTTTACTGAATAGAGCAGGACTAAACAACCACACCAGGCTAAAGATGATCAAAATAAACAATGAAACGTGTTAAGGAAAGAGCAAAACAAATTGTAAATATTTTTAAATGTGAAAAATCCAGATGATGCAACAAAACTAACACCCAGGTACCTCAAACTAACACCCAGGTACCTCAAACTAGCACCCAGGTACCTCAAACTAACACCCAGGTACCTCAAACTAACACCCAGGTACCTCAAACTAGCACCCAGGTACCTCAAACTAACACCCAGGTACCTCAAACTAACACCCAGGTACCTCAAACTAGCACCCAGGTACCTCAAACTAACACCCAGGTACCTCAAACTAACACCCAGGTACCTCAAACTAACACCCAGGTACCTCAAACTAGCACCCAGGTACCTCAAAATAACACCCAGGTACCTCAGACTATCACCCAGGTACTTCAAACTAACACCCAGGTACCTCAAATACTAGCCACCCAGGTACCTCAAACTAACACCCAGGTACCTCAAACTAACACCCAGGTACCTCAAACTAAGCACCCAGGTACCTCAAACTAACACCCAGGTACCTCAAACTAACACCCAGGTACCTCAAACTAACACCCAGGTACCTCAAACTAACACCCAGGTACCTCAAACTAACACCCAGGTACCTCAAACTAGCACCCAGGTACCTCAAAATAACACCCAGGTACCTCAAACTAACACCCAGGTACCTCAAACTAACACCCAGGTACCTCAAACTAGCACCCAGGTACCTCAAACTAACACCCAGGTACCTCAAACTAACACCCAGGTACCTCAAACTAGCACCCAGGTACCTCAAAATAACACCCAGGTACCTCAAACTAACACCCAGGTACCTCAAACTAACCCAGTACAACACCCAGGTACCTCAATAACATACAACCACCAGGTACCTCAAACTAACACCCAGGTACCTCAAACTAACACCCAGGTACCTCAAACTGACACCCAGGTACCTCAAACTAACACCCAGGTACCTCAAACTAGCACCCAGGTACCTCAAACTAACACCCAGGTACCTCAAACTAGCACCCAGGTACCTCAAACTAACACCCAGGTACCTCAAACTAACACCCAGGTACCTCAAACTAACACCCAGGTACCTCAAACTAGCACCCAGGTACCTCAAAATAACACCCAGGTACCTCAAACTAACACCCAGTTACCTCAAAATAACACCCAGTTACCTCAAACTAGCACCCAGGTACCTCAAAATAACACCCAGGTACCTCAAACTAACACCCAGGTACCTCAAACTAGCACCCAGGTACCTCAAAATAACACCCAAGTACCTCAAACTAGCACCCAGGTGCCTCAAAATAACACCCAGGTACCTCAAACTAACACCCAGGTACCTCAAACTAACACCCAGGTACCTCAAACTAGCACCCAGGTACCTCAAACTAACACCCAGGTACCTCAAACTAACACCCAGGTACCTCAAACTTGCACCCAGGTACCTCAACCTAGCACCCAGGTACCTCAAACTAACACCCAGGTACCTCAAACTAACACCCAGGTACCTCAAACTAACACCCAGGAACCTCAAACTATCACCCAGGTACCTCAAAATAACACCTAGGTACCTCAAAATAACACCCAGGTACCTCAAACTAGCACCCAGGTACCTCAAACTAACACCCAGGTACCTCAAACTAACACCCAGGTACCTCAAACTATTACCCAGGTACCTCAAAATAACACCCAGGTACCTCAAAATAACACCCAGGTACCTCAAACTATCACTCAGGTACCTCAAAATAACACCCAGGTAACTCAAACTATCACTCAGGTACCTCAAAATAACACCCAGGTACCTCAAACTAACACCCAGGTACCTCAAACTAACACCCAGGTACCTCAAACTAACACCCAGGTACCTCAAAATAACACCCAGGTACCTCAAACTAGCACCCAGGTGCCTCAAAATAACACCCAGGTACCTCAAACTAACACCCAGGTACCTCAAACTAACACCCAGGTACCTCAAACTAACACTCAGGTACCTCAAAATAACACCCAGGTAACTCAAACTATCACTCAGGTACCTCAAAATAACACCCAGGTACCTCAAACTAACACCCAGGTACCTCAAACTAACACCCAGGTACCTCAAACTAACACCCAGGTACCTCAAAATAACACCCGGTACCTCAAATACACCCAGGTGCCTCAAAATAACACCCAGGTACCTCAAACTAACACCCAGGTACCTCAAACTAACACCCAGGTACCTCAAACTAACATCCAGGTACCTCGAAATAACACCCAGGTACCTCAAAATAACACCCAGGTACCTCAAAATAACACCCAGGTTCCTCAAACTAGCACCAAGGTACCTCAAACTATCACTCAGGTACCTCAAAATAACACCCAGGTACCTCAAACTAACACCCAGGTACCTCAAAATAACACCCAGGTACCTCAAAATAACACCCAGGTACCTCAAACTAACACCCAGGTACCTCAAACTAACACCCAGGTACCTCAAAATAACACCCAGGTACCTCAAACTAGCACCCAGGTGCCTCAAAATAACACCCAGGTACCTCAAACTAACACCCAGGTACCTCAAACTAACACCCAGGTACCTCAAACTAACATCCAGGTACCTCGAAATAACACCCACGTACCTCAAAATAACACCCAGGTACCTCAAAATAACACCCAGGTACCTCAAACTAGCACCCAGGTACCTCAAACTATTACCCAGGTACCTCAAAATAACACCCAGGTACCTCAAACTAACACCCAGGTACCTCAAAGTAACACCCAGGTACCTCAAAATAACACCCAGGTACCTCAAAATAACACCCAGATACCTCAAACTATCACCCAGGTACCTCAAACTATCACCCAGGTACCTCAAAATAACACCCAGGTACCTCAAACTAACACCCAGGTACCTCAAACTAACACCCAGGTACCTCAAAATAACACCCAGGTACCTCAAACTAGCACCCAGGTGCCTTAAAATAACACCCAGGTACCTCAAACTAACACCCAGGTACCTCAAGCTAACACCCAGGTACCTCAAACTAACATCCAGGTACCTCGAAATAACACCGAGGTACCTCAAAATAACACCCAGGTACCTCAAAATAACACCCAGGTACCTCAAACTAGCACCCAGGTACCTCAAACTATCACCCAGGTACCTCAAAATAACACCCAGGTACCTCAAAATAACACCCAGATACCTCAAACTAGCACCCAGGTACCTCAAACTAACACCCAGGTACCTCAAAATAACACCCAGGTACCTCAAAATAACACTCAGGTACCTCAAAATAACACCCAGGTATCTCAAAATAACACCCAGATACCTCAAACTAGCACCCAGGTACCTCAAACTAACACCCAGGTACCTCAAAATAACACCCAGGTACCTCAAAATAACACCCAGGTACCTCAAACTAACACCCAGGTACCTTGAACTAACACCCAGGTACCTCAAAATAACACCCAGGTACCTCAAAATAACACCCAGGTACCTCAAAATAACACCCAGGTACCTCAGACTATCACCCAGGTACTTCAAACTAACACCCAGGTACCTCAATATAACTCCCAGGTACCTCAAAATAGCACCTAGGTACCTCAAACTAACGCCCAGGTACCTTGAACTAACACCCAGGTACCTCAAAATAACACCCAGGTACCTCAAAATAACACCCAGGTACCTCAAATAACACCCAGGTACCTCAATACTAACACCCAGGTACCTCAAAATAACACCCAGGTACCTCAAAATAGCACCCAGGTACCTCAAACTAACACCCAGGTACCTCAAACTAACACCCAGGTACCTCAAAATAACACCCAGGTACCTCAAAATAACACCCAGGTACCTCAAAATAACACCCAGGTACCTCAAACTAACACGCAAATACCTCAAAATAACACCCAGGTACCTCAAAATAGCACCCAGGTACCTCAAACTAACACCCAGGTACCTCAAAATAACACCCAGGTACCTCAAAAATAACACCCAGATATCTCAAATAACACCCAGGTACCTCAAACTAACACCCATACCTAAAAAAATCTACCACCCAGGTACCTCAAAATACACCCAACTCCAACCTGTACCTTAAACTAACACCCATGTACCTCAAACTAACACCCAGGTACCTCAAAATAACACCCAGGTACCTCAAAATAGCACCCAGGTACCTCAAACTAACACCCAGGTACCTCAAACTAACACCCAGGTACCTCAAACTAACACCCAGGAACCTCAAACTAACACCCAGGTACCTCAAAATAACACCCAGGTACTCAATAAAAACTCAAACTAAAACACCCAGGTACTCAAACTAACACCCAGGTACCTCAAACTAACACCCAGGTACTCAAACTAACACCCAGGTACCTCAAAATAACACCCAGGTACCTCAAAATAACACCCAGGTACCTCAAACTAACACCCAGGTACCTCAAAATAACACCCATGTACCTCAAACATAACACCCAGGTACCTCAAAACTATCACCCAGGTACCTCAAAATAACACCCAGGTACCTCAAACTAACACCCATGTACCTCAAACTAACACCCATGTACCTCAAACTAACACCCAGGTACCTCAAAATAACACCCAGGTACCTCAAAATAACACCCAGGTACCTCAAACTAACACCCAGGTACCTCAAAATAACACCCAGGTACCTCAAAATAACACCCAGGTACCTCAGACTAGCACCCAGGTACCTCAAACTAACACCCAGGTATCTCAAAATAACACCCAGGTACCTCAAAAAAACACCCAGGTAACTCAAACTAACACCCAGGTACCTCAAAATAGCACCCAGGTACCTCAAACTAACACCCAGGTACCTCAAACTAACACCCAGGTACCTCAAAATAACACCCAGGTACCTCAAAAAACACCCAGGTACCTCAAACTAACACCCAGGTACCTCAAAATAGCACCCAGGTACCTTAAACTAACACCCAGGTACCTCAAACTAACACCCAGGTACCTCAAACTAACACCCAGGTACCTCAAAATAACACCCAGGTAGCCTCAAACTAACACCCAGGTTACCTGGAGGTTATTCCGGGGATCAACGCCCCCGCGGCCCTGTCCATGACCAGGCCTCCCGATGGATCAGGGCCTGATCAACTAGGCTGTTACTGCTGGCCGCACGCAGTCCAACGTACGAGCCACAGCCCGGCTGATCCGGCACTGACTTTAGGTATCTGTCCAGCTCTCTCTTGAAGGCAGCCAGGGGTTTATTGGCAATTCCCCTAATGCTTGATGGGAGGCTGTTGAACAGTTTTGGGCCCCGGACACTTATGGTGTTTTCTCTTAGTGTACCAATGGCGCCCCTACTTTTTATTGGGGGCATTTTGCATCGCCTGCCCAGTCTTTTACTTTCGTAGGGAGTGATTTCTGTGTGCAGATTTGAGACCATTCCTTCCAAGATTTTCCAAGTGTAGATTATGATATATCTCTCCCTCCTGCGTTCCAGCGAGTACTAGTCAAGTGCTTCCAAGCGTTCCCAGTAGTTAAGGTACCTCAAAATAACACCCAGGTACCTCAAAAAAACACCCAGGTACCTCAAACTAACACCCAGGTACCTCAAAATAGCACCCAGGTACCTCAAACTAACACCCAGGTACCTCAAACTAACACCCAGGTACCTCAAACAATGCAGAGAGACAGTAGAACACTGGCAAAAAATATCACACGTTTAGTACTAACGTTTTTGAAAAGGTTGTGAGACGCCAAATTAAAAAAAAATGAAGAGGATGACTAGAGCTGCCAAAGATAAAATTATATAAGTTTATGAAAAAAAAGCATTTGTGGTCTACACGGACTTAGTCTACACATGAAAATCGAAACTGGAAATTTGCAAATATATGTCAACAAAGTGTTCCAGCGGACAGTTGAAAAACTGCTCAGATATGGAGAGACATGAAAAATTTAAAAGGAGAACATATTGAGGCAAATGAAAGACCAGGAAAATGAGAGTACGGGTAATGAGAACCTTTAAAACTTAGGAAAACAATGATTGGTGGCACTATTCAAGTCACTGTAGACACACAGGTGAGTGTCTGTCACGCGTTCAACAGACGGAGGATCAAGACTCCACACGTCTTGTGCTGAATGACCCACGTGTTTAGCGCTTAACATGAATGAAACATTCAGATCACTTGTGGTCTCTCCTGTAGAATATTGTCTGGTGTTGACGGCTCCGTTCAAAGCAGGAGAAATATCAGTGTTGGAAAAGATACTGAGATTGTTTTCGGCCGCATAAAACCAATAAAACATTTAAACTACCGGGAATAACTCAAGTACTTGAAATGTGCTCTCTAGAGTGAAGAAAAAGAAGAAGATACCATAATAACTTAGTGGAATGCGGGGTATGACAGCAAGTGTAAAATAGACCCAGTATGAAGCACTGGAGCCATATCCGTGATCCTGTAGGAACTAGTCATCCTGCCACCAGCAAATATCACAAATAAGTTCTAGAGAGAACACACACCGCCAAGTGCCAGATCAACCAGACTGTGATGGTTTTTGTGGGCCAGCAAGTCACCAACAGCAGCAGCCTAGTTGAACAGGCAATTAACACAAAAACCTGACGAGGGGATAGCTAGAACTTCTGTAGTGAGGTCTTAAAGACGGCTGTGTGGCTGGCAGGGGGCTAGGCCACTTGTTTTGAAGAAGCATTGTTAATATTATTGCCATTTTAATTTGGGAGGCTGAGGGAAATTGGGGGGATTGAAGTCCCCAAGTCCCCCTTTTGCACCGTCTTGAAACCTGGTCCTAAGCTGGTTAGCTAGGGTACAAAAATTCTCAAAACCTGTCACAGGTAAACCATACCCCCGGCCGGGATTGAACCCGCGGTCATAGAGTCTCAAAACTCCAGCCCGTCGCGTCATTACGATTTCTTAAGTCCTGTCACAGGTATATTACTGATATACAGGTTTAGTACTTCCGTCAGTACATTAGTAATCATCAACATAGTTTTGACTATTTTTCAGGAAATCTTTTATGCATTCTGTTTCGTTCCCTGTCATCCTGGTCTCTTTTCTGTGTAGTTTTCTCATGTGAGTTTTTCTCATGTCTAATCTTCGTGAGTCTGTAATGAGAATCATGACGCAGGATGAGAGAGAAATACGAACATGTCTCTTAAAAGCTTGTGCATAGTAGGAAATGTAATGAATGTTAATATTTATACATAGACTGCCAGGAGAGGAAGTTGAGAGATATATTTCTATTCAACTTTACTTTTAATATGCGAAGCAAAATTGTTGGAAAAAACAAGAATATACTGGAAGAGATTAAAGTAGTGTTGTCAGAGAGTAAAGTTAGAAGGAAGGACGTAAGAAAGACGCAAATCAGTAGTTGGAAGAGGAATAGTTTCAAAATAATTTCTGTAAAGGATATACTAATACAGGTGTGACTATGACTACACAAGTTTAAGAATAAACAATTATCTTGAAAAGAAAATGAGATAGAACTGACATAAAAACAAATAAAATCAAGAGATGAGTAGAACTGAAATAAAGCGAAGAGTGGGCTGTGACCGCCACCTTTCAAATAAGTCTCGACAGTGACTTAAGTGTGCAGGAGAAAAAGTCAAAACAGTTTTGGTGTGTAACTTGCTGTGTTGGCATTTGTTGCAGCTACGGTAATGTGACATATACTCATCAGATCTAAACACTTTTCACCCACAGTGAGGCTGGTGTGTCAGCAGCTGGTGTTAGTGTTGGTGAGTGTGTTGGTGGCGGCGTTGGTGGTGAGACTGGCCAGGGATCCTCATCCATACCCTCTCCCCAACATCATCAAGTCACCACTACTTACCCTCTCCTACTTCCTATGCCTCTCAAACTACACTACTTTGGTAAGTGTAAGTACCTATTTGTAATTAACTAATGACAACTACAGGAGCAGAGCTACGATCATGTCACGTCTGTAGTAACAGTTACCATTAGATTCAATGAAAACTGGTCAACTCATAGGAGTCAAATAACGTCTGGCTAACAAAAGAAATCAAAGTCTATCCAATCATATTCGATACCAGACTTAATTGTTAAGTTAAAATTAAAAGTATATGTCGACGATTCATAGTGGTTTGAGGCTCTGGATGACGAGAAATTTTAGCCAAAATATATTTATAAATAACTGATTCGATGTTACATTGTGTATGATATAAGAAATTTTAGCTAACATGTGTTTATAAATAACTGAATTGATGTTACACTGTGCAAAAACTGATAAATTATGGATTAATAGTAAAGTTAATCTTCAGAATAAAGTTTCCAGGGTTATTATTTCTAGCAGGTTAATACTCAGAATCAAAATGTTATCTTGGTCAGGCATCAAGAACACAGCAAGAGTACACCTTCACAGTGAAGGGCGAGGAGGTGGAACTGGGTGAAGGCAGCAGCAGCGGGAGAGAGAAGAGAGGTCTGGATGACAGCCACACTCATCAGTGGATGCTGCTGGCTGCTCTCCTCGACCGTCTTGTACTCATTCTTTATCTTGTTATATGTATCATTACTCTCATCCGCTTTACGAGCATCCTCTAGTGCCCACCTGCCCACCCACTACACTTACCCACCTGCCCACCCTTATGCTTTTACCTGTTCACCCTCTGCCTTCTCCCACCTGCCCTCCTCCCACCTGCCCTCCTCCCACCTGTCCTTCTCCCACCTGCCCTCCTCCCACCTGCCCTCCTCCCACCTGCCCTCCTCCCACCTGTCCTTCTCCCACCTGCCCTCCTCCCACCTGTCCTTTTCCCACCTGCCTCCATGTGGACTGTCAGTCACACCTATAGATCAATTATTAATTGTTATATACGTGTATATATAACAATTACTCATATTTTCTATATGAGTAACAAATATAAGTATAATTAACACTTGTTGATGTTAAATAATAACTCACATGGAGACGGAAACACGGAAAAAATTGCTCTTTATATTTGACCTTCAGCTGGTGTCTTCTTCAGTAGATACAGAAAAGCGAACTAACACTCAGGTAAGAAAAGCGAGGGGAAGCGGGAGTTGACGTAAATAGCACCGGAGAGGAGCGTCGTCAGCCGTAGAAACAGAGCCAGTGTCAGGATAGGAAATGGGACGACAAGTTAGAAAAAGTGTAGAATGTCACGTCATGATGTTCCACACTCACCTGCTTCATGACACGATGTTCCACACTCACCTGCTTCCTGACCTGATGTTCCACACTCACCTGCTTCCTGACCTGATGTTCCACACTCACCTGCTTCCTGACCTGATGTTCCACACTCACCTGCTTCCTGACCTGATGTTCCACACTCACCTGCTTCCTGACCTGTGGTTCCACACTCACCTGCTTCCTGACCTGTGGTTCCACACTCACCTGCTTCCTGACCTGATGTTCCACACTCACCTGCTTCCTGACCTGTGGTTCCACACTCACCTGCTTCCTGACCTGATGTTCCACACTCACCTGCTTCCTGACATGATGTTCCACACTCACCTGCTTCCTGACCTGATGTTCCACACTCACCTGCTTCCTGACATGATGTTCCACACTCACCTGCTTCCTGACATGATGTTCCACACTCACCTGCTTCCTGACCTGATGTTCCACACTCACCTGCTTCCTGACATGATTTCCACATCACCTGCTCCTGACCTGTGTTCCACACTCACCTGCTTCCTGACCTGATGTTCCACACTCACCTGCTTCCTGACCTGATGTTCCACACTCACCTGCTTCCTGACCTGATTTTTCCACACTCACCTGCTTCCTGACCTGATGTTCCACACTCACCTGCTTCCTGACCTGATGTTCCACACTCACCTGCTTCCTGACCTGATGTCCACACTCACCTGCTTCCTGACCTGATGTTCCACACTCACCTGCTTCCTGACCTGATGTTCCACACTCACCTGCTTCCTGACTGATGTTCCACATTCACCTGCTTCCTGACCTGATGTTCCACACTCACCTGCTTCCTGACCTGATGTTCCCACACTCACCTGCTTCCTGACTGATGTTCCACATCACCTGCTTCCTGACCTGATGTTCCACACTCACCTGCTTCCTGACCTGATGTTCCAATTCACCTGCTTCCTGACCTGATGTTCCACACTCACCTGCTTCCTGACCTGATGTTCCACATCACCTGCTTCCTGACCTGATGTTCCACACTCACCTGCTTCCTGACTTGATGTTCCACCTCACCTGCTTCCTGACCTGATGTTCCACATTCACCTGCTTCCTGACCTGATGTTCCACACTCACCTGCTTCCTGACCTGATTTCCATCCCCGTTCCCCCAGTCAATTCACCTGCTTCCTGACCTGATGTTCCACACTCACCTGCTTCCTGACCTGATGTTCCACATTCACCTGCTTCCTGACCTGATGTTCCACACTCACCTGCTTCCTGACCTGATGTCCCACACTCACCTGCTTCCTGACCTGATGTTCCACATCACCTGCTTCCTGACCTGATGTTCCACACTCACCTGCTTCCTGACCTGATGTTCCATATTCACCTGCTTCCTGACCTGATGTTCCATATTCACCTGCTTCCTGACCTGATGTTCCATATTCACCTGCTTCCTGACCTGATGTTCCATATTCACCTGCTTCCTGCCTGATTCCACATCACCTGCTTCCTGACCTAGTTCCACATCACTGCTTCCTGACCTGATGTTCCATATTCACCTGCTTCCTGACCTGATGTTCCATATTCACCTGCTTCCTGACCTGATGTTCCATATTCACCTGCTTCCTGACCTGATGTTCCACATTCACCTGCTTCCTGACCTGATGTTCCACACCACCTGCTTCCTGACCTGATGTTCCACATTCACCTGCTTCCTGACCTGATGTCCATATTCACCTGCTTCCTGACCTGATGTCCATATTCACCTGCTTCCTGACCTGATGTTCCATATCACCACTGCTTCCTGACCTGATGTTCACATTCACCTGCTTCCTGACCTGATGTTTCACATTTCACCTGCTTCCTGACCTGATGTTCCACATTCCACCTGCTTCCTGACCTGATGTTCCATATTCACCTGCTTCCTGACCTGATGTTCCATATTCACCTGCTTCCTGACCTGATGTTCCATATTCACCTGCTTCCTGACCTGATGTTCACATTCACCTGCTTCCTGACCTGATGTTCCACATTCACGCTTCCGACCGATGTCAATTCACCTGCTCCTGACCGATTTTCATATTCACCTGCTTCCTGACCTGATGTTCCAATTCACCTGCTTCCTGCCTGATGTTTTCACATTCATGTTCGACCTGGCACATACCTGACCTGAGTTCCACATTCACCTGCTTCCTGACCTGATGTTCCACATTCACCTGCTTCCTGACCTGATGTTCCACATTCACCCTGCTTCCTGACCTGATGTTCCACAGTTCACTGCTTCCTGACCTGATGTTTCCACATCACCTGCTTCCTGACCTGATGTTCACATCACCTGCTCCTGACGATGTTACATTCACCTGCTTCGACCTGATGTTCCACATTCACCTGCTTCCTGACTGATGTCCACATTCACCTGCTTCCTGACCTGATGTTCACATTCACTGCTTCCTGACCTGATGTTCCACATTCACCTGCTTCCTGACCTGAATGTTCCACATCACCTGCTTCCTGACCTGATGTTCCACATTCACCTGCTTCCTGACCTGATGTTCCACATTCACCTGCTTCCTGACCTGATGTTCCACATTCACCTGCTTCCTGACCTGATGTTCCACATTCACCTGCTTCCTGACCTGATGTTCCACATTCACCTGCTTCCTGACCTGATGTTCCACATTCACCTGCTTCCTGACCTGATGTTCCACATTCACCTGCTTCCTGACCTGATGTTCCACATTCACCTGCTTCCTGACCTGATGTTCCAATTCACCTGCTTCCTGACCTGATGTTCCAATCACCTGCTTCCTAAACCTGATGTTCCACATTCACCTGCTTCCTGACCTGATGTTCCACATTCACCTGCTTCCTGACCTGATGTTCACATTCACCTGCTCCTGACCTGATGTTCCACATCACCTGCTTCCTGACCTGATGTTCACATTCACCTGCTTCCTGACCTGATGTTCCACATTCACACTGCTTCCTGACCTGATGTTCCACATTCACCTGCTTCCTGACCTGATGTTCCACATTCACCTGCTTCCTGACCTGATGTTCCACATTCACCTGCTTCCTGACCTGATGTTCCACATTCACCTGCTTCCTGACCTGATGTTCCACATTCACCTGCTTCCTGACCTGATGTTCCACATTCACCTGCTTCCTGACCTGATGTTCCACATTCACCTGCTTCCTGACCTGATGTTCCACATTCACTGCTTCCTGACCTGATGTTCCACATTCACCTGCTTCCTGACCTGATGTTCCACATTCACCTGCTTCCTGACCTGATGTTCCACATTCACCTGCTTCCTGACCTGATGTTCCACATTCACCTGCTCCTGACCTGATGTTCCACATTCACCTGCTTCCTGACCTGATGTTCCACATTCACCTGCTTCCTGACCTGATGTTCCACATTCACCTGCTTCCTGACCTGATGTTCCACATTCACCTGCTTCCTGACCTGATGTTCCACATTCACCTGCTTCCTGACCTGATGTTCCACATTCACCTGCTTCCTGACCTGATGTTCCACATTCACCTGCTTCCTGACCTGATGTTCCACATTCACCTGCTTCCTGACCTGATGTTCCACATTCACCTGCTTCCTGACCTGATGTTCCACATTCACATGCTTCCGGGACCTGATGTTCCACACTCACCTGCTTCCTGACCTGATGTTCCACATCACCTGCTTCCTGACCTGATGTTCCACATTCACCTGCTTCCTGACCTGATGTTCCACATTCACCTGCTTCCTGACCTGATGTTCCACATTCACCTGCTTCCTGACCTGATGTTCCACATTCACACTGCTTCCTGACCTGATGTTCCACATTCACCTGCTTCCTGACCTGATGTTCCACATTCACCTGCTTCCTGACCTGATGTTCCACATTCACCTGCTTCCTGACCTGATGTTCCACATCACCTGCTTCCTGACCTGATGTTCCACATTCACCTGCTTCCTGACCTGATGTTCCACATTCACCTGCTTCCTGACCTGATGTTCCACATTCACCTGCTTCCTGACCTGATGTTCCACATTCACCTGCTTCCTGACCTGATGTTCCACATTCACCTGCTTCCTGACCTGATGTTCCACACTTCACCTGCTTCCTGACCTGATGTTCCACATTCACCTGCTTCCTGACCTGATGTTCCACATTCACCTGCTTCCTGACCTGATGTTCCACATTCACCTGCTTCCTGACCTGATGTTCCACATTCACCTGCTTCCTGACCTGATGTTTCACATTCACCTGCTTCCTGACCTGATGTTCCACATTCACCTGCTTCCTGACCTGATGTTCCACATTCACCTGCTTCCTGACCTGATGTTCCACATTCACCTGCTTCCTGACCTGATGTTCCACATTCACCTGCTTCCTGACCTGATGTTCCACATTCACCTGCTTCCTGACTTGATGTTCCACATTCACCTGCTTCCTGACCTGATGTTCCACATTCACCTGCTTCCTGACTGATGTTCCACATTCACCTGCTTCCTGACCTGATGTTCCACATTCACCTGCTTCCTGACCTGATGTTCCACATTCACCTGCTTCCTGACCTGATGTTCCACATCACCTGCTTCCTGACCTGATGTTCCACATTCACCTGCTTCCTGACCTGATGTTCCACATTCACCTGCTTCCTGACCTGATTTTTCCACATTCACCTGCTTCCTGACCTGATGTTCCACATTCACCTGCTTCCTGACCTGATGTTCCACATTCACCTGCTTCCTGACCTGATGTTCCACATTCACCTGCTTCCTGACCTGATGTTCCACATTCACCTGCTTCCTGACCTGATGTTCCACATTCACCTGCTTCCTGACCTGATGTTCCACATTCACCTGCTTCCTGACCTGATTTTCCACATTCACCTGCTTCCTGACCTGATGTTCCACATTCACCTGCTTCCTGACCTGATGTTTCCACATTCACCTGCTTCCTGACCTGATGTTCACATTCACCTGCTTCCTGACCTGATGTTCCACATTCACCTGCTTCCTGACCTGATGTTCCACATTCACCTGCTTCCTGACCTGATGTTCCACATTCACCTGCTTCCTGACCTGATGTTCCACATTCACCTGCTTCCTGACCTGATGTTCCACATTCACCTGCTTCCTGACCTGATGTTCCACATTCACCTGCTTCCTGACCTGATGTTCCACATTCACTCGCTTCCTGACCTGATGTTCCACATTCACCTGCTTCCTGACCTGATGTTCCACATTCACCTGCTTCCTGACCTGATGTTCCACATTCACCTGCTTCCTGACCTGATGTTCCACATTCACCTGCTTCCTGACCTGATGTTCCACATTCACCTGCTTCCTGACCTGATGTTCCACATTCACCTGCTTCCTGACCTGATGTTCCACATTCACCTGCTTCCTGAACCTGATGTTCCACATTCACCTGCTTCCTGACCTGATGTTCCACATTCACCTGCTTCCTGACCTGA